GGAATTATTATATGGAAATAAGTCTCGACTCTGAATATCACCCTAAAAGAGCTCATTGATGTCTCTCATTAATGCTAATTAAGGCTTTTTATAAATAAGGCACTTTCAGGTCGACGTTTCGTATCCGCAAACTAATAATAGTTTTTATATTACGGTATTCGACGTGAATGTATCGAGTAACGGAACACCTATTACGATGTAAGTGATGTCAATATTAATAACCATTAATTAGTTTGATGGGATTATTAGTAAAATACTTAATAACATAAGTGGTAGGACCTTAGCGCTATAAATGGTATATTCGAATATAAATGAACAGTCAAGTTTTATCCGCACTATCCTGATGGAAAAAGTGCGTGCGTACAAAGTACACATGTCAGAAGTGAAACTTCTTTGGCAAACTAATTTTTAACTCTTGTTCATATTTATACAAATCCAAATAGATTCCGATTTTAAGTTTCCGAGACTTAGAGGAAGGTAAAAAGGAAGATATGTTAAGAATTTAATGAATTTAATTGTCATTAAAATATTAAGTGTCGCAAATTAATACAAATAATAAATTTGATTTTTTAAATTTCTTTCTTTGATAATAAAGACACGTGGCATTTTAATTTACAATTCGTCATTTGAGATTTCAATAAATTATTTTGCATAAAATATAAAATACTAATATTTTAAAATTCACTTTTAATTTTAAAAATAGAATTTCTATAAGTATACGCACTGTCTCATTATAAATAAATTATATCTATAACTAATCAATAACTCAAAGCATTCTTATTCCGCGACAAGTATGACCGTAAGGCCGTTTCTCCACTGCTCCGGTCCGGCAAACGTTAATTACCGATCCGATTTAGAAACTCACAACAGTACTTACGTGCTTCTCCACTACTCCGGCATCCGGTTTTTAACGATCCGATAACTTGCTAGATCGGAACGCGGTGTTTTATCGGTCCAAGTATCCAAGAGGTTAAAATTATTATTCACAGGTTTATTTTTATAGTTTGTTTAATTTGAAAGAATTTGGATAACCTGGACCAAATCAAATTATGTTGCTATTTATTTATATTTTTATATCATAGTATTAGTGATCTATTTATTAAGTAGATTATATTATTTTAAGATAGACAATATAAAAAAGTAATAAACTTGCCAGGGCAATAAAATATTCAGAATTTAGAACGTTTTATTAATAAAATAAAGTATATGGGTTTAAGTTAATATAAGTGTTGCATGATAAATATACAAGTATCGATTATTGTCGGATCGGATGTAGTGGAGAAGCGCAATCCGGCCTTCCGATATTTTTCTCATGACTCATTCCGGTATCCGACGTCGGACCGGAGCAGTGGAGAAAGGGCCTTACTGTAACAGCAATGCAGTACTATCATGTTATCAAAGTTGCTTATATTACTGAATCATAAGAAACACGAATAATCACACAAATCACAACTAAATACACAATATTCAACTAATTTACTTAATTCTCTAAACAGTTTTATCAAAAGGCGTAATCTATCACGTAGCATCTGTTTAAGATAGTAAATGTATATGTTTTATAACCTGCAAATTAAGAAGACGGAAATATTAAAACATCGAGGTCCGTTTATTTAAGTATTATAAGGATTATGTTATTTTTTTACATAAAACAGTAAGTGCCATCTCAAAAACTTAGATGGTGGTTATAAGTACTGAATACTTTATTGAATGAATAATTTCTTATAAAATAAAAATAAATGGTATACTGGTTCTATGCACCGTTAAAATTTGATAACAAGAACTACATATTGTTGATAACGATGACACCTTAATTGTTTTCTTTTATGATTTAAATTATTACCTACTAGAATTTTTAAGGCTCTAAGCAAAACCGAAGACGCCAAACCCTCGTTTGTTCATTGTTGTATTAGGTGTAGAATACGTCACGTGACGAGTGTTAGATATATCAATCAAATTATCGTAATCGGTCATTATAAGTATTGAACCATATACTTTCATAAACTTAATAGGATTTTGTCTTAGCCCCTGTTCTATTTCAAGGCGGGCTTTCGATTCAATCGCTGTTTTTTTTTTTTTTTTTATAGAACGGGGGGCAAACGGGCAGGGGGCTCACCTGATGTTAAGTGATACCGCCGCCCATGGACACTCTCAATGCCAGAGGGCTCGCGAGTGCGTTGCCGGCCTTTTAAGAATTGGTACGCTCTTTTCTTGAAGGACCCTAAGTCGAATTGGTTCGGGAATACTTCAGTGGGCAGCTGGTTCCACATAGTGGTGGTGCGCGGCAAAAACTGCCTTGAAAAACGCTCAGTTGTGGAACGTCGGACGTCGAGGTGATACGGGTGGAATTTCGTATTCTGCCTCGACGTCCGATGATGAAACTCAGCTGCAGGTATTAATCCGAACAACTCCTAAGAAGAAGTAGAAGATGCAGAGTGACCCCACATCTCTACGCAACGCCAAAGGATCAAGCCGCTCGGAGAGGGATTGGTCGTCGACGATTCGAACCGCTCTGCGTTGTATACGGTCAAGTGGGGGGAGGTGAGAGCAGTACTCCATGTGGGGCCGAATTTGCGCTTTATATAGTTGCATACGGTGGCCCGGAGTGAAGTACCGTCTCGCCTTGCTGAGCACACCAAGCTTTTTGGAGGCTAATTTAACCTTTCCCTCCAAGTGACCGCGAAACTGAACGTCGCTCGATATGTCAACGCCAAGTATTCCAATGCTGGCTGTGGCTTTAAGAAGAGTGTTTTCGAAAAGAGGAGTAGCGACAAAGGGTGTTTTTTTTGCGGAAAACGCGCAAACTTGTGTCTTCTTGGGGTTAAATTGGACTAGGTTTTGTCTGTCCCAACTCCCAATCTGAGACTCCACGTAGTAGAGTTTCCACTTCAGACACAAGTTTGTTCCGGTACTCATCAACAACTGCCCGAGAAATACCTGCCCGGCCAGTGTAAAAAGTATCCCCAGTGCTGTCATCCGCATAGCAATGAATGTTGCTAAGTTTCAACATATCATTGATATGCAGAAGAAATAGGGTCGGGGATAGAACACAGCCTTGTGGGACCCCAGCGTTTACGGGTTTTAGGTCGGAACATGCTCCGTCGATGACGACCTTGATACTCCGATCGGCCAGAAAGCTGGAGATCCAATCGCGTAATTTCTCGGGAAGCCCATAGGCTGGAAGCTTCGAGAGCAGTGCTCTGTGCCACACCCGATCGAAGGCTTTCGCTATGTCCAAACTAACCGCTAGCGCCTCCCCCTTGGACTCAATTGCCTCTGCCCATCTATGTGTAAGGTATACAAGAAGGTCACCAGCCGAACGACCACGACGAAAGCCGTACTGATAATCGCTAATCAGCTGGTGGCTCTCTAGATACCTCAAGAGCTGGCAATTAACAATGGATTCCATTATTTTGGAGAACAAGGAGGTTATAGCTATTGGGCGATAGTTGGACGGATCAGAGCGATCGCCTTTTTTAGGGATCGGATGTATCAAAGCGGTCTACCAGCACTTCGGGACAGAGCTGAGCGAGTACAGGTACCGGAAAAGGCGCGTTAAGACCGGAGCCAACTCAGGAGCACAAGTACGCAGCACAATTGGGGGGATACCATCCGGCCCGCTCGACTTATGAATGTCCATGGAAGATAGTGCTTTGCGGACAGCATCGAAGAATCACACCGCGAAATGGTCGGTGGTGATCTCCCTCGGTCATCCAAAGTTGAGTTGGACGCGAAGAGACAGCCCAAAAGGTCAGCCTTCTCCTTCACAGTGTGGGCCAGAGAGTCATCCTCCCTGTGCAGTGGCGGAATGGCGGGCTGACAAAAATTCCCTTGGACAGCTTTGGCGAGAGACCAGAAGGCTCGAGTCCCTGAAGGGAGTTGGGCCAATCTTTCGCCAAATCTGGCAATGTGCTCTGACTTTGCCTTAGTGATTTCCCGTTTGAAGGACCTGGAGGCTGAGTTATATGCTTTTTTAAGTTCGCTGGTATTGGCATCACGAGATTTCGCCGCTTCCGCTCATGCCTTAAAGCATTCTCGCTTTTGACGCGAGGCCGCCTTGCAAGAACGTTTAAACCAGGGCTGAGACTTGCCACCGATCGGCACCGCAGAAAATGGAATAAAGAGTTCCATGCCCTGCAGAACCACTTCGGCGACAGAGGCGGCGACGGAATCTGGAGCTTCCGGCGAAAAGCACATAGGCCCCCAAGGGTAGGACGCAAAGAAAGACCGCATCCCGTCCCAATCTGCTGACTTATAGTGCCAAATACGGCGACAACCCATAAAGCGGGGCCGTGAAGGGCGCGTAGATGGCACAGTACTCCGGACCACACAATGATCTGATGAACCCAATGGCGGGTCAACAGAGACTTGATAGTTCTCCGGATGTGAAGTCAGCAGAAGGTCCAACAAAGAGGGTTTATGACCATCCACATCTGGTATTCGCGTAATCGCAGGGACCATTTGTGTCAGGTCGTAGGCTAAAGCAAAGTCGTGAAAGGATCTTCCCGCGTGATCGGTGGTTTCAGAGCCGAGCCAATCGGCATGGTGGGCGTTAAAATCGCCAAGTATCACGATTTCAGCAGGGAATTTGTAGCCATTTGGATGTGCTAAGCTAGCTAGGTAGCTAGCCAGCCACTAAAAGTTCATTATATTCAAATATTTGTAGTAGAAAGCAAATACATCACATTTTGACCATACAGAACAATTTAATTGTATGATGAATTAAAATTTTATACCTAGCTACACCCGAAATCCAGATATAGGTGTCAAAAGAATGATGTAACTCAATGTCAGCTATCAAGTGACAAAAGTCATATAGAATTTGAAGTTTAAAAAGTTCTGTTTGACAAATAAACGCGATAAACATTTAACATGTGCTGTAGCCTGTGTTGGTATATAAGGTCGTCACTAATGTTAATTACTAATTAGTGTGTATTTTAAAAATTGACTTGAGATGTGTTTTGAAATATATAATATAAAAAATTCCTACGTAAACTAGAAAAATGCTACCTGGATACGGAGCTGTGACACAAGCCCTTTTGGGCACGCTCCTGACGTGGGGTTTGACTGCCGCTGGAGCCGGCTGTGTCTTCTTTATTCGAGGAAAACATGTGAGAAAACAACATAAATTAAGATGATTATTTCAATCGATACATATTTACAATATGCTCTTCTGTATTACAGAGGAAAGTACTGGATGTCTCACTGGGTTTCGCAGCAGGTGTTATGACGGCAGCATCTTATTGGTCGCTTTTAGAACCAGCTATTGAAATGTGTAAAGAATCTGGAATGTATGGCGATGAAGGACAGTTCGCATTCGTACCTGTTGCTGTGGGATTTCTATTTGGAGCTATATTTGTTTTTGGTACCGACCGGTTCCTGGATTATCTAGGAATAAGTTCAACAAATATGATGATAAGTGAGTATTCTTTGATGTTTTTTATTTTAATTCATCCATTGCCATGATTGTGTACAGTTTATGGTTTTCATTTATTATTATTGTTCGTTTTGTTGAAATTTGTGTACTTAAATTTTCTAAACAAGGTTATAAAATAACAAATTTTTAAAACAATTAAGAAACTAACAAAATAATTTAATTTGAAGTAGCCCATAAATGTTTAATACTATTTTGCCCTTGTGTAAAGAAAAATGTTAGAAAAACTTTTAAGATACAAATAATAGGTAAAGGGTTGTTTGTGATCATAATTCAGAAATTATTATGAAAATTGAACTGAATTTTTTAGAACACTTAAACAACTATATCTTGCCTAGCTAGAGAACAATTTTATTACAAATAATAATTTGAGCTTTTTGGTTCTATGTTATTTAGGTTTTTATCAAAAACTTATTGAATGTGACATATGGGAGGGATACTTAGATGTTGATTTTAAATGTTTCCCTTAGTGACAGTTCCTTTACACTTTAAATGCTTAACTTTCATAAATCATATGAGGTTATGTTGTGTTCTAAGACAGTTTTGTGTGAAACTAAAAGAAACTATTTATCTAAATTAATTATGATAAATTATCAGAATTTTTTGGTATAATAAGTAAACATTATGGTTATACCGGTGTACAGATGTTTCATAATATTGATAAGTTATCAATCAAAATATGTTGATGTAGTTAGTTATACTAGAAAATTTTAACAATTACTAGCTGATCTGGCAAACGTTGTTTTGCCATGTATATCATTTATAATAAAAAATAGGGGTTGATCGTAGAGGGGTGAAAATTAGGGGTTGTATGTATCTTTTAATGCTGTATCATAAAAAAATAAAAATTTATCTAAAAATTAAATAAAATAATTTAGGGGTGGACTGCCCTTAACATTTAGGGGGATGAAAAATAGATGTTGTCCGATTCTCAGACATACCCAATATACACACAAAATTTCATGAGAATCGGTCAAGCCGTTTCGGAGGAGTTTAACTACAAACACCGCGACACGAGAATTTTATATATTAGATATTTCAAGAAGTTCCTAATATCTTAACTATGTAATAGGGTACTACTACTAATAAATATATATACAGTCAAAACCGGTTATAACTACATCGAAGGGACCGTATGGTTGCCGACGTTATATCCGATAGTCGTTATAAGCAATGTCATATATTATATATACACAAGTATAGTTCATATGTATGTACAATACATACAAGTTATATTATCATAGTTATCTATCTAGAATAGGTAGGTATGGGTTATAATATGGTATGTTAATATTATAATATGTAAACGAGTCAAAAAAGAAACAAAAATATTTATTACGAAATAATTAGGTACAAAAGTAAACGAACATATATAACAAAGTCTATAAAAAAAAAAAAAATTTTTTTTAATAAAAGTAATATTCATGATAATCAAAAAATTTAAAAAAATGTTTTTCTATATTTTGTTATATATGGTTGTTTTTGTTAATTTTAGAAGTTTTAGAAAAAAAATATAAAAAAGTTGAACATTTGTTTATAACAAATTGGTAAGTTAATAAACAATAGAATTGTTGATTAAAAAAAATTTTTTTTCTGTTACTTTATAGAGGATTGTGAATTATGATTTTTAGAAAAAAAAAATTTCTTAACTAATTATTTAAACAATAGAAATATAAAAAAAACGATTATAAACAATTAAAATATGTTATTAAGGAATTTTTTTTTTTAAACAATCATAATATTTGTAATGTAATAAAGTTGTGAAATTTTTTTTTTAAAACAATTGATTTAATCAATTTGTTTAAAAAAAAATTATCAACAAATGGCGGGAAATTTTTTTTTTGCAAATCAATAAATATCTTGTATTAATATAAAAACGATAATATGATGATTTAGAAAAAAAAAAATTTTTTAACAACATTACTTGGATTTTTAAGTTTTTGTTTAAGTAAAAAAATTGTTATAAACAAAGTATAAATATTTCTTTAACTTTTATGGCACGATCTTGTTAAGTATGTATGTAAGAAAGGCTCTACGAAGCGAAATATTTTTACGACCATTATTAAAACATTTTTTTTCACTTACAATTAAGACGGTCGTTCGAGAAAATTTCGTTAGTTAACAATTATTTAACTTGTTGAAAAATTAACTTTAAGTAAAATTTCCAACGGGAATAAATTAATTATAGTGTTCAGAACACACCATAATTTTTTCAAATTTAAAAAAAAATATTCAATACCTTAAATAAATTAATTAATGTGCCGTAGTCGCTTTTGACGCCACGCGCGAATCCTAAAAATGTCACGCACAGACCTATTTTCAGCGTTAAATTAAAGTTATAAATAATGGAGATAGAGTTCCGGGAGCTGAGAGTTTTTTATTGGAAATTTCCTCCTCTTTCAGAATCTTTATTTGAAATTTCTTAAATATTAATAGTTTATTAAATATTGGCAAAAAACTAAATTCCATTTTTTTTCATCTTTAATGGTCTATAACTTTTGCAATTTTTTATGTGCTAATACACGCTTTTAGCACATTTTTCTAGGCGTCATTCCGGTTCAAATGAGCTATCGCACATAATTTTAAGAGCAGTATCTCTATTTTGTTCCATTTTCAACTTGTCGACTAGACTAGTACAATCTGGTTGTAATAACCGATAGGTCGTTGTAAACGATGTCGTTATAAACGGTTTTGACTGTATAATACTTTGAGTACTTAAAATTACATACCTTGCAATTTAAATAACAGCAATTTAGAGTTTAGGGCCAATATTCATTTATCGCCCCTAAACTTTGCTTTTACTAGAAAACTATAATATGTATTACATATTAAACTAAACACAGAAGTTAAAACAATTATTCAAATGAAATAATAATATAAATATATATTACAATAGTAAACAATTTTGTAGAAGAAAAAAAGATGAAACAATGAAGTAATTGTTACATTGAAACTTCAAAGGTCACATATGGACTAGCCTTAATATTTAATTTAAATGTTTTTGCAATATTAAATTACTTAAATGTAATTCTTATCTGCTTATCATTCATAAGAAAAAGTAGTACTTACAGAAGATAACAATTTGCGCCCAGATTTAATTTTATGGGTGTATAAAATTAATTTCGATGTCAATATGAGTTCTGTTTATCTTAAATAGTAGAATGACATAGCTTATTATATAAATTGTTAATATTTCTCCACATTTTTATAATTGTATTTCAACATTATAACAACTGATGCAGTAAAATTTCCGCTATAATACTTTTGATGTGTACTTAATGAAATGAGTTGTCAAGGACAACCTAAGTGTAAAAAATTAAACATTATAATTATAATAGCCACAACACTTTGTTCTACTATCTCCATTGAAAATGGCACTGTCTCTCTAATTGTCTAAATTAACAGCGATTGTGTTCATCTAGTTCAATATTGAGCTTTTGTACATATGAGATGTGAGATCACTGCTACAGTTATTAAGTGAATTACATCGAAATTGCATTCAAAACTTGCTCCAGAGTACTGGCTCAGTAGCTCATATTATTAGTGTGTTCAAACAAGCTCTTCAGGGTTAAATAGCACTATATTGTATGCATAGATTATATTTTTTATTAGATATTTTGAATAGTATTAAAACACTTGTTATTATCATGTGTCATTTATAAGGTAATTTGTTCAAGTTTTTTAATGATATCTTTCCACTTTTAGTATTTAAACTTAAATGTATTGTAATTTGAATGTTGATGATAATACAATAACCAATTCGGTTCGTTCACTTTCTAGATACATAACATTAACATATTTAGTTCAGTTATTAAATATTTTAAAAATAACAACACATCTTTTATTATAAGAATTTAAAAAAAAAATAACGAACTCAACATTCGTAGTAGTATAGAAAATTGTGTTGCCAGTTTTGTAGAACTGCTAAATTCATGTTTAATGTCAAAAAGGTCATGACCTTATGTCAGGTGTTTATTTTTAATGGAATGTGTTATATCGGTTAGTAGTATTCCTACACCTAGATAAAAAATGCCAAATATCGGCCAATATTCTTACTTATTAACATAAGCGTGCTTGTTTAATTTATTTTCTAACTTTGATTTGATAAAATATTTTAAATCTCGGAGCCCAAAAATCAAGTATCTTTGTAATGAACAGATGTAGATTTAATGTAAGGATTGAACGAAGATGATACAGTGAATCAATCTAATGAAAGATTTATCTTATCGTTTGCAGTTGTTCTTTGTATTTATTCTATGAGCTAGTGTAGACTAAGTAAGATTTTATCTCCAATATTAACTTAATTATCTACGGTCTTTTACGTACATCTCCTATAGTGATAGAAAATTTAGGACATGTTTTTCGCAGAGAACACCTATTTTTGACTGAAAGACTACCTGTAGTATGTTTATTATAAATAATTAAACGAATACTAGCTTCTGCGCTTTAGTTTCAAAGCGCGTTGTTCGAAACTGACTTTTAACAATGTGTCTAAAATTTAATAGTCCTTATTTATAACTAAAACTTAGGATCACAATCCTGTTACGTTTTTATACTGTGTTGATTGGTATTGAGAAATGAAACATTGTATTACTCGTTATCAGCATTTATATTATTTGTTTATTATTTGCATGAGTATGCTCTTTTAAAGTATTTCATGTAGGTATGTTACTCGGGTGTGTTCACTCGAATTTTAGCCTTAAAGCCACGTTGAAAAAATTTATTTACAACTATATAGTAGCCAGTCCCGGCTTCGCAAGGCATTTATTTGATACATTTTTAAATAGCTTAAGTTGTCAGAGCACGTGTTGTATGAATCAGGGCTGTACAGTGTACACCAATAAAGTACTATTATATATATTTTTAATGTGCGCAATTAATTATGTCTTTGGCGCAATTGACACTCGTATAGCGAAGGAAATGTCGTTAAAAACCTACATGGCTTTGATCTTAAAAATCGTCATGAGTTAGAAGGCTCATAATCTTCTTGCCTATTCAGACAAATGGTCACGTAACACATACAGGAGTCTGATTGATTCCAAAAGACCGTCCTCTTGGAGGTTGTAGAGACATTGGTTTATTTGTATGATAGGGGCCGTTCAAGTATTACGTGATCAGATTTAGTGCAATTTATCCCCCCTCTTGTCAGCAAATGTAAGCAAAGCTCTTAAAAAATAATAGTATATAAATGTATTAATTTTTTGTAGGATTCGTTTTCAAGTATAGACAATGTGTGGGTAATATGTGTAAAAAAGTAAATAATTACTGTTGACGTGATCACCAAATAAGAAAATCACAGACCCCCCATCCCCCCTATAGTGCTTACGTAATACTTGAACAGCCCGACACTCAGTGTATGAATTGAAATTGGTCCAGTAATTTGTGGATTTATTCGTTACAAAAATACAGATTCAGTCGATGAGTTTATCAATTCGATCAATTTAAGTGCAGTGTGCTTCGAGAGAAATCTGTAGGTACTAGCCTTGATGTTGTTATTGGTCGATAAATTAACATTTATTCCCGATCCGAACAACATTGTTGATTCGTTTTATTTTTCACTTAAACAAGTTCCGAGATTATCGTAAACATTTTTCCTGACCTCGATTTCATAACAATTGTTTTGGTTACGCATGCATGATTTAAAAAAATATGTAGAGCTGTAAAAATATATAACATGACAGCATACATAATAGTGAATTAAAATTTTCTATCGATATTAAGGAAAGAATCAACCAAAAATTTGTGTATCTTTCATAATGCATACAAATTCTTGACCATGTACTTATATGTAACGCCTACAAATGATACTATTCTTAATAACCCCCTCTCCATATACCAAATACCAGTCGTTATTGCTACAACTTGTAATTTGTTTATGGAATAAAACGGATGTCAAATGTGTTCAATAAAAACATTATTTGAAAATAATTAAATCATACATCACTTAATATATAAAATATATATATACTATTTAATTTCAGGTATAACAAAGAGCAAAGATTCCAAAGAAAAGCTCGAAGACTTGGAAATGATGACGGCACTGAACCGTCGGTCATCGAATCCCACAGTTGTTACGATGGAGGCAACTCAGCCAGTCGAGTTCGCAGATTGCATCTCAAACCAGCACACAGCTCAAAGAAGAAGGCACCATCACTCACAACATTCACTTGTTTGTATATCCAACATATATCTATATTCTATACTAATAGGTATTAATTTTTAGGGTACTATAGTCTATTTATTATGGTGACCTAAGAAATAGCTTTTTTCTAAAGTACAGAATTTACGTATTACAAATAAAGAAAATACAATCAAAATCTATTACAACGACATCGAAGGTTCTACTCATATTTGGTCGTAACAGCCGATGACGTTGTTATTAAGTACCAAATACAATAGAATTCAGCCGGGGCCTTTGCTTTTGGTCAATAACCGATATGTTGTTCAAAACGATGTCGTCGTAAACGGTTTTGACTGTAATTCTAAGCTACAGATTATAGAAAAATACTGTTAAAAAATGTTTCATTACTATATTACATTTTTATTGTGATCTTATATAAAAGGAATAATCCTATGTTATTTAGATTAAAAGGTCCCCAGTGCAGAAATTTCCTATTTTCGTTTTAAACCAAGAAAATATAGACCATGGTAAACATTACATAATATACATTAAACGAAAATATTATATCAGTAATAGGAATTACATATTTTCATTGTCTGATTTTGCACTACATCTATTAGGTGTCTTAATTGTCCATTTCATGTGACGCGGGAATAACACAAGCTTATTTTCACCATTGATTTTATTATTACACACCAACATAGGGACCGTTCAAGTATTACGTAAGCACTAAAGGGGGGAGAGGGGTCTTTGATTTTCTTATTTGGTGATTACGTCATCAGTAATTATTTACTTTTCACACATATTACCCCCATTTTCTATACTTAGAAACGAATTGCATTTTCGAGGATTCCTACAAAAAATTAATACTATTCGTTTTGAGAGCTTTGCTTACTTTTGCTGTCAAGTTGATAAAAGGGCCTGGGACTAGTGCTAGACAGGCTACTTCTAATCAATTTGCGATATTTGTTTTAAATAAGTGTTGTTTGATGATTTGCTGTTTTAAAAGAGTACCGAGAGTTTTTTACGCCGGCTTTTTCTCTCGGCCTACACCCTCTGTCTTCTTTGCCGATGAGTAGGGATGCCTTCAAATTTAATGACGTGGAATAAGTGATACATGTATCTTATGTTCCATAATAAACATATTTTATTTTATTTTATTTTAAAAAGAAGGGGGGGGGGGATAAATGCAGTAAATCTGCTGACGTAATACTTGAACGGCCCCATACAATGTGTACATATTGATAAATAAAAACGTTTGTTTTAGAAAAATGGTGAAGTTGGTGAAGGTGATAGAAGAGACAGTGTTATGCGGTCACTAGAAGCACGTCAGTCTCAGTGGAAGAGGATAATGCTTCTGGTAGTGGCCATCACAGTCCATAATATACCAGAAGGTTTGGCTGTGGGTGTGGCTTTTGGAGCCGCTGCATCATCCAGTAAAGCCTCATTTCATAGTGCCAGGTTAGTGTTAGTTATATACCAACAGGATGTACCCATATCTTTATTTATATTATAACAAGATTTAGACACATGCTATCATTTTTTGTAAAAAATGTCATGTTCTTTAATATTGTGGAACATTTTTTTCTATCATCAATAGTTTTCGCAGCGCATGTGGTATGGTATGGTAACATTATTGTAGTTTTAGTAGGGATCCTTATTATATATATTCCTTATTTTCTTGCAATTAAAATAGCCTATATTAATCAGTGATAATGTAGTAATCAAATAGTAAAAGAATTTTTATAATCGGTTCAGTACTTTTTGAGCCAATTCGTTACAAACATACTTACATACAAATCTTTCCTCTTATGTATAGATAATGTGTGGTTAGAGAGCCACAAAAAGTAATGATTTTATTTTAATAATAAAAATTTCCACTTAAAAACCTACATTTACCGCTTCGTAAATATTTATGATAAATAAATATTAGTATACTGGACTTATCTCAAGTAAAATTTATGTAAAAATAAAGTAAACTTTTTATTTAAAAATTATGTAACCGACTAATTCGCAAGTACCATACAAATTACCTATTTAATTTATATTCTAACCACGCGTCACTGTTTTCCATTAAGAATGCTCCTTATCAACTATTTTATTACCTCGATGGTACCAGTATTAATAAATTTAGTATATACATCATTGTAAGAGGTATTAGAATGTTATTTAAAGGTATGTCCCTTTTTTATTTTATTATAAGTATTTTTATTCTACGGCTTTTCGGACTACCTACTGTTACTATCACATTAGCGATAGCACTCACGCGAGCCTTCTTACCATAAAATAAATCTCTCTTAGAATCAATAGAAAATAATGCAATATGCTTTTATATTCTTGAGTACAGCGACACCTGTCGTCCGTGTAAGAAACTACGATAATGACTACTTTAAATTTGCTAATATGAATCAGTGACATCTATTAGCAATCTCGCATACCATAATGACTGTTTCGAAATATACCCCATTAACATTACTGCCATCTAGGCATATTCGGAGATATTACCGAATTCGCTTGAAGATGGCGTTAGTAGTATTGTTGGATGTTAATTAATTTTTTTTCAGTTGTTATTATTCTGTAGATAAGTGAAATTCAATTAATTCATTTGAAATTAGTTTGATATAACTTTTTATAAATAAATACACAATGATAAGATTTTAATTTAATCGACGTATTTGCAATCCTACCTGTAATAATTGAAATCGCATTATACGGAAATCAAAATAAATTTATCATTTCCAAATAATCAAATAAGGTATATAATTGTTAAAGTTTTTTTTACCAAAATAACGCAATAGATAATGCTTGTAGTCGCCATTTTGTAACGCGTGAGGCACCGGAGGGCGCCATAGGAATTTCATTGATAAGTGAGTGAGCGGGATACAAATAGTTGCACTATGGACCCACCGTTAACCAATTAGTTTGTAGGGTCAAACGCAGCTTTAAAATGTGTTACATGAATAGAGTAAAGTATGCGAGGAATGCGTAACTTTTGGATAATTTTATGCTTATTTCTCTATTGAGTTTCTTTTCTGAAATTCCTTAAAATCTCGTATTGATAATATTTATGAATAACGATATAATTTTAAGTCTTTCGTTTGATTCGTCTTATTGTAAACAGCTATTCACTGAATATTTTTTTTTTGTGTAATTTAAAATCTAGCGTTAGCTAGGCAAGTAGTGGGAAGCACGTCACCCGCTTCTCAAATCTTATCGACTTAGGAATTACACTTTGCACTGAAATTTAAACACTACAGTCAAAACCGTTTACGACGATATCGTTTAGAACAACATGCCGGTTATATTGACCAAAATCAACGGTCCCGGCTGAATTCTATTGTATTAGGTTCTTAATAACAACGTCATCGGCTGTTATGACCAAATATGAGTAGTCCCTTCGATGTCGTTATAACAGATTTTGACTGTATTTTGATTTTTGTTGGACTGTTGGTTAATAATTGCGTAATTATACTTATGAAATTACACGTTATCAATTAGGATTTCAAAGGTTTCAGTAAGAAAGTGTCATCTTTAATTAGCTGAAAGTGGGCGTTAAACGTTTCATAATAATCTAATTGACGAAATTAACTCTAGAAGCTGTGAACGAGGTAAGTGGGCGAGTGATGGCCCCTGCCAAACATGCCAACGGTAATCGGCTAATTAAATTTCTTACGGATTTAGTTTAAACTGTGGTTTATATAATTTAATTTAGTTGGGAATTTAATTTTTTTTATACAAAAAACGGGCTGGAGGCTCACCTTTTGTTGATTGATACCGCCGCCCATGGTTACATCATTGCCGGAGGGCACGCAAGTGCGTTGCCGGCCTTTAAAAAAAGTCTGCTCCGTGTACGTGAAAATTAATCCCTTTTTAGCACTTGTAGTATAATTTTTGCCCGAAACAGGATAATTTACATTGTAAAGCCCTTTAAGAATATAAAATTCACGATTCTTTAACATAGAAACTCTATTAGCGACATTATCATTATTATACTCAACTTCAATGCGCCTTAAACTCAGGCACTAGACCACTTTTTCATTTTTCTCAATTGTTTATACTGAGTAACTGTTTAATACTCTACGTACGCTTTCTATACTCAATCCCAATCCAATTTTTACTACTAGAGATTGATATTAAATAATCTTCAATAACCGATCGATGGATCGTTTCTGTAATATATCTTTGAATTCGACAGATCGAATTTTGACATTTATCAATCTAAATTTGGGAAAATGTTTTAGATTATAGATCGAGTATAGAAAACGATTGTATATGAACAATAACATCGCTATATTAATTATTTTATTCCATATACGCCTCAGTTTATATGCAGGCAATGATAAATGAAAAATTTTGTTATTTACCTATGTGTTTTTGCTTATGGCAAAAACATACTAGTAAAATCTAAAACTGGAAGCGTTTTTATTGTATTTTTAGCTTTTTACATTTTTTGTAATATTATGTTTACCTTAATTATCACTTATAAATTATAATATAATATATAATACACTTATAATATATATATCATCATGGTGCAATTCTATTGGTCGATATTTGGGTCGGAAAAATAATCATTTATATATTTAAAAAAAATAGCTTGTAACATACTCTTGATATAGCATTATATATGATGTGGTAAACTTTAATACCTTGAGCAGTGTTGGCCTAGTGGCTTCAGCTTGCGACTCTCATCCCTGAGGTCGTAGGTTCGATCCCCGGCTGTACACCAATGTACATTCTATGTGCGCATTTAACATTCGCTCGAACGGTGAAGGAAAATCATCGTGAAACCATAGACACCAAAAGTCTCCGGCGTGCGTCAGGCGCAGGAGGCTGATCACCTGCTTGCCTATTAACATTATCATGCAACAGATACAGAAATCTGAGGCCCAGACCTAAAAAGGTTGTAGCGCCACAGATTTTTTTTAAAACTTTTATACTATTTTAATTCTTTTTTTATACTCACGTAAACAAACAAATACTTGTTATATTAAATCACTACAGAGGAATGCAGTCGTCATTGAATATAGTCACTAACATGGTTTAATAGGTTAGATAAGTGACGGTTAACATTGATTCATTAAAATGTTAATGAATTGTTCGTAGATGTTTCAATTATGTTAAATATAAAATCTTGAGAGTGAATATTTTAGTTTTTTCTGAATGTTCCGTAGGCATACTGAACGCTAAGTTTTGACTTTGAAGTGTGCAATAATAAATTACGATCGATTTGATTATCGTTAGAACCTACAGAAGTAGGTACGTACGTGCAAAGTGATTTTCTGATAGGAAATAAATGTTGTTTAACATAATTGAAATATCAATTAACAATAAATTACTGGAAATTGGGATGAATGGACTAAAAGCCGGCAACTGGGCGGCGGTGTATTAACACCAGGAGAGCCTTCTGCGCCTTTGTTACATAAAAAAAAAATTTCGGATGTGTACAACTAACGGTATCTAACGGTTTTCGAACTCGTCTGGAAATATCATTCCATAAGAGATTTGTATTTTTCTAGGTTTAATGTTTTGTAATGGAAATTTATCGCAATTTTAATAATAACATACACATGAAGATGTACAGAAATTGTATTTCCTTGTTATTATTAAATTATTATGCTTAATTTATTTATTTATAAATACAAAAAAACATGTAGGTAGGTATGCTTAAAAGATACAAGAAAATATGACGTCACACATTTTACACAACAATTCTATTAGGATTCTATTAATCCAAAATAGGCAGGAAAAAATTAAATAGATACTTAAATCACATTAAGTGAGTAATACACAGAATTACTTTAAGAAGATTGTTGTATTAATAATTGCATTAAAATTTAATAAATATCAAAGCAGTGGGTATTACCTCGTTGAATAACATAATGTAAATATACTATTAAACATTTAACTACATTAGTGCGATATGTGAAAACCAAAAATGGAGTCTGTAATACGACTGGTTACTTGGCTAATAACGAGGGGTCAACGACCCGCCGACGCAGACAGCCGTCATCAGTGAAACTATTTCGCTGAAAAATCCGTCGCGACACATCGAAGACAGCCTTGACGTATTGTCGCGACGATGATGCGTGGGTGCTAGGCCTCGTTCTAGTTTTTTTTATAGAACAGGGGGCAAACTGGCAGGAGGCTCATCTGTCGTAAGTGCGCATGGACACTTACATAGCCAGAGGGCTAGTAATTGCGTTGGCGGTCTTTAAAAAATTGTCTGCCCCCGTTTTTTTACATATGGTATAAGAAAAATTCATGCCATTTTAATTTTTTATTACCTATATGAAGAAATGATTTTGACTTTTGTTTTTTTTGAAAAAACTATTGTTTCGCTGTGAGAAAAGACGCTATTGACCAATCATGAGTAGTCTTGAGCTGTTTTTTCTGTTTGCCTCCGCAGTGATTGTTTATCACCAGGTCGATTTGGAGCGGCTACCTTCTTCCTTGAAGATTCCAGTTATGAACTAGCTTGGCAATGTTATCTGTTCTCCAAAGTATCTTTGTAAT